CTCGCACCGTGCGAGGCTTCACGAGACGATGCTCCGCGACCGCACCCAACTCGATGAGGGAGCCTGGCTGACGGACCCGAATTTGTTTATTTTGAACCGCACATGAATCTTGTTTTTAAGGCAACGTTGTATTTTTGGAGTAGGACTTTGAACACTGTTATCTCTCTCAACTATAGAGGTGGAAAATCGGGAAATGGATATTCTGATATGGAAGATGCCTGGTGGTGTTTGTTTTAATGATGGCGATTATGTTATGTTCTATGAGAGATTGAATGTTCACCACGGGGCTGGACGACCAAAGCACCAATGAATTGCAACTTTTCACGCCAACATGGTAGTCAGCCTCCAATTGCGCCCGTCAGACCTGCGAAATGTACGTAGTGTATTGTGTATAGATAGTATAAAGAAGCACAAATGAAAACTCGAAGTGCACATTGGGAGAAGACCGATGCTTTCGTTTTTGTGAACGCCATACATGGTCGAATTGAAAAGAATAAAATGTTTGCCTAGAATGAAACAGTGTCTGTTGTTGTGTGCATTGTGTACAGCTATTACCTATGAGCGATCATGTAGAATGAATGACCCAGTCGAGTCCCTTGAAACGCGCGGTTCCCTGAACCCAATGCCATGTGTACTTGCTAACTGTCATGTTCCCAAAAAATTAAATAAAAAAGACAATACAATGATTTACCCCAAAACGCCATTCAATGTGTCCCTCCAAAGCCATGCTATCAATCGCTCACAAATGCGACGAGTGCTTTCCAATTCGCAATTCCCCATACAAGACCAAACAGGCTGAAATAGTTCAGGACTGTCACGAGATGGATGGGTCGGTTCTTTCTAAATCTTTCTATGTCGGCCGCTTAAATGGATGTGCTTCTGTGTTGAGCACCCACTCATCCAAGCTGATCACGTCTGGTTCAGAGAAGAGGAGGAAGTAGTACTTTAGTGTCTCGGCGATCCAGAAACTCTCCATGGAATCCAGCAGTGACGGCTCGTCACGGGTGACATCGTCAATGGCGCTATTGGCAAACTGAGTACGCGTCGCTCGGGACGTGGCCTCGAACATTCGCCAGCCCTTTTCCATCCATTCAGGGTCGCCGGTGATACGGTACATGTACCAGACAGATTCAATAGCTTCGGGCCTGTAATACTACGTTAGCATATATTGATGGGGTTATGGGATGCGTGGACGACCAAACAACTTACCGTAGAATATAATTAGGCCACTGGACGTCTACCCAGCCTGGAGGCAGTGCCTTATCACTGATTTTCTTCTTCACATACTCTTCATGGGACAGAGGCTTCTGAGACTTCACAGCCATCCTGGATGGTACGTTGGAATGCGGGACATTGGGTTGGGTCTCGTCGAGGTCGTCGAAGTCGTCGAAGTCATCGAGGTCATCCAGTTCGTCGAGCTTGTCATCGCCTGAGTCACCCGACCCAGATTTCACCTTTCCGCTGGAGCCTGTTTTTTTCTTTGTCTTATCCGCGGACAGTTTAGGAGACTCTTCATCGGTGATTCCCAACTTCTTCTTCAGCGAGTCTGGGAGTTCAGACCCCTTGTTCTGTTGCTTTTCGTTGATGGGCGGGGGTACCCTCTTGTGAAGATTACTGGCCGAGGAGCCGGTTGTTTCAATAGTGTGCCCCTTTTCACGTAACCGATTACCTGCTCCAGCAGTCAACTCGTCGTCGGACTCGCTGTCTCGAACCTTGTCACTATTGAGCTTCTTCTGCTGTTGCTTCTGCTGTTGGCCCTTTTGTTGCTGTTTCTGTTTCTGTTGCTGAGGCTTCTTATTCTTCAGCTCTGCTTCAGTAGCCTCCCATCGTGCGATTTCTTTCTCACGCCATTCTCTGCTGAAATCCAACCGGTCCCACCAGAGCGTCTCATTGAATTCGCACTTTTCAAGTGTCGGGCAAGGGAGCACAATTGAGCCTTCTGGCATGAGGCCTGATGGCATCGACTGGTACGCCCACACGCAGCCATCAGTGAGCTTCTTTGCCGTCTCAATGTCCTTCTCCCGTCCAAAGATCTTGCCTCCCAATCCATACATTCCTCCAATGAAACAGGTAAGATGGGTAACCTCATAATTAGCGAAGGAATCTTCACCGGGTTGTCCGTAAGTCGACACCTTGGCAGGAAACAAAACGTCCCAGTCCTTATCCTTCATCATCGGACGATACATCAGATACTTGTCGGTGGAATCAATCGTATCTTCGTGGAGTTTCTGATACTTGGGTTCAAGACCTCCTAGCAGCAGATACTGCTTAGGAAAGTATTCGTATGCCGAGTCTTGTCCACCACCCATGTGGAACACTTGTTGACCATACCCGGCGGGTACCAGACCCTGAGGAACACAGTCCCAATTCGCCGTTTGCCCATTAGCCGCAAAGGGAGCCAGGGCCCGTTCACGGTCAATGGCTCGATCAAGGTCGTTCTTGTTCGGTGGCGAAGGTTTCGAATCCGCATCTGAGCTCGCCCTGGGTGAAAGACGGCCATTCGAAGTTGACGGTGTTGGGCTATTGGTATTTTCAATTTTCGCATACTTCCGGTCATCCCCAAAAGGGGTTTTACCCGGAACATAACCCTCAGGGTCGCCCAAACTGCCTCCCTTGTGTACTTGATCCCGGGCTAGCTTGCTGAGGGAGCTGGAAGCTGTCGTGGCCGTCTTGTTGCAGCCAGACGCGTCAAGTTCTTCGGGGAATAGACCTGGGATGGCTGTTCCAGCCTCTTGCATATCAATCAAAGCATTAGTGATCCTATCAACGGCATCGTAGTATTTGTTCTCCGATGTTAACTGGGCCAGACGAGTAAACTCCATTGACAAAGTGGCTAGCTCCGCCATGCCAACACGACCAGCGCGGCGTGGCTGTGAGGTGAAGTCAGGCTTCCACGCATAGTACAGAACAGGCATCCGGTTGGGGGTGTCGAAGATGCCCATCAGAATTTCGGCCAATTCGACTGCCTTGTCTAAAAGCACGGTGTAAGATCCTTTGCGACCACCGCTCACATCAAAGGCAGCAATGAGGCCACCAAGATACCGAATGGTAGTCTCAAACACGGGGATGTCATGCCGCTTGGTCCATGTAAAGTCAATTTTCTCAACAGCTTTGACAGCTTCATCGAATTCATCCTTCATCCCGGCAATCCAAAGAGTGTCAAGAGAGTCGACGAGAGTGGCCGCCCAGCCACAGAATGGGTCTTTGTATTCCGCGGAGACCGGCCTCAGCTCATCATGCATCCAAGCATACTTTTTGTAGCCAGACCAAGCTCTGGTGAGCTCAGCTTTAACTCGGGCAAGTCTCTTCTCGCGAGTAGCTTGATTCTCCTTGGACTCGGCACCGAAATCATATTGTATCTTGGGTATGGCCTTGGGCTTGCCGGTGGGAAGAGGAATGATGGACTCCTTAGGGACGGGGAAGTGTTCTTTGGGCTTCGTCCAGTGCACCTCGGTGCCAATAAAGGCGACATTCTTCTCGTTATTGGGTGGGCTTTTCCACGTCATCTCGGGTGTATCATCGTCTGTATTTTGAATATCAAGAGAATTCTTTGGCGAGAAGGGTGCTTCCGTGTGTTCGTCTTGTTGTTCGCTGTCGTTCGAGTCGCTCGAGATATCGTGCTGTGGTCCAAGTCCGGCCCCCTCATCGCTATGTCCTTCTTTGGTGAGCGTAGAATCGCGATCATTTTGGCCCTTGTCGCTAGTCTTAGATTTGTCGGGCAGAGGTACCTGGGGCTGAAGACGGTTCGCAGGAGCAGGCTGGTCACCTGTGTTCAGGTGTTGAGGTGAGTGAGGTTGGTTTTGAGCGAAAGCCGAGTTCTCGTAGGACTGGTCCCAGGAGTTCTGTAGCACTCGGTACAGCAAAAAACAAATGACGATGGCTCCCACGACAAAAAGTCGATACCGGCGACGGGGGAGCATCTTGGCATGCGTTGCTGCTCACGAGCAGCAGGCCGTGAAGTCGTCGAGGGTGTGGTGTTTGGTCGATAGGGCCTATGTTGGTAGCATTGCCTGTGTAGGAGTAAGGAATCGGTCCATTAACTCAAATACGAGCTATCTGGAACAACCCAAGCCCTCCCTACTTGCCTTGCTCACGCTGTTTCGAGGGAGGAGCGCGCCAGGTTTCAAAGGCCGGCAATATGTCCCACTGCAACACCGGCCGCCACTAAAACGGCAGTGCCAAGAGAAAGAGCTTGGCCCCGGGGAAGGGAAATCCAGTTCGGAGGAGGGAGGGGAGGAAATGAGGCAAAATCAAGTCTGGGAACGTGGCAGGTCTCGAGCAGCCCAAGATCAGTACGATACAAAAGAGGAGAACGAGGGCTCATCTCATCCCCGGGGATGGGCAAAGTGCCTTCGCATCATCGTCCTGCCTGAGATGGGCGCCATCATCAATGCCAAGTCGGTAGCGGACGCCCGCAGTCCAATTCGGGGAGCTTTTCAATGGAGGTCAGCTCTAGGTTAGTCTGGTCGCCTGATGTCCCGATGCGACCCTCCTCCAGTCTAGGGGACTCAAGCACCTAAGCTTATTAGCGGCACGGCTCCATCAATTGGGGAGGTGGATGGATCCAATATGCTACCTTCACTCTGGGGACACACACACACAAACATGCATAGCACACACTCTCTGTAATCTCCACATGTGACAGGGCGCATACGGCAATGTTAATTACAGCTGCTTGATTTGCAGCGCATCAATACTAGGCCTTGTATTCCTTCTGCAGCTCGGCAAGCGGAGGAAGCCCAGAGCAAATGTCTCTCATTGTAGGTACACTTGGATAAACGCAACGAGGGAACCAACCCAACCATAAAACAACTGCCGATTAATTGATGGTCGCATCTCATCCCAATCATAATAGCGCCGTCGCTAGCTAAAATCAACAAAAAGCAACCACACCCAATACCCATGCTACAGACCATACGTCGAAAATATAGATGACAGATAAGTCAAAAAGGTTGGCGCGGGGGGGAAACGCCAAGGATACCACGAATCGTTCCTAGTACTCAACCAGCCATACCCTTGATCTTTGCATACAGCGTAGTATCTTCGAACCTGAATTCAGGGTCTGCGAAACAGAATGGATGCTGCGAGAGCATTTTGTCCGCCGTAGGCCGTTCCGAGGGGTTTCTGCGCCGATACATTAGCAATGTCTCCAAACTCTATAAAAGTTGCCTTGCACTTACACCTGGAAACAGTCCATCATGAATGCGACTGCCAGTGGACCAATGGTCTCCTGAATCTCTTCGGGAATCGGTGGTGTTTCTCCGTTGGCGATTTTGTAGATTGCACCCACAGCTTCTTCATTCGCCCAGGGCCGGCGACCAGCAAACATTTCCAATACTACACATCCCAAACTCCAAATATCAACCTTGGCGCTGTAGCCCTCTCCTTGCGAACGAATGACTTCAGGCGCCATCCAGAAGACCGAGCCCTGCATGGAATTCGTCTTGTCGTTGCCATAGATGTTGTCCGTCTTTTTGGAGATACCAAAATCACTGATCTTGCAGGTGCCATCAAGATCAAGTAGAATATTGTCTGCCTTGAGATCCCGATGCAGAATGCCTTCTCGGTGAAGGTATGCCAGTCCAGCCAGAGCTTGGCGTGTCAGCGAGGAGACAAGGGACTCCTCGAATTTTCCATGCTTGCGTAGGCACGATCCGATGCTACCACCGGAAATATACTCGAGGAAGATGCTAATGCTGGTCTCCTTTCGCTCGCAACCCAAGTACTGCACAATATTCATGTGATCCAGATGCTGCATGGTGTCGATTTCCTGGTCAAGAGCTGCAACCATCTCTCGCATCTTCTCCTTGTCGCCGCCAGCCGCCCTGGAATTGACTTCCACCTCTTTCACGGCCAAGAATTCACCAGTGGTGGCGTTCATTCCTAGGTATACTCGCCCGTAGGTACCCTTACCAATAAGCTGACCTTTGAACCATCGGAAAGTCGTTTGTCGCTTTGGCATAGGCTCGTGCTCGTGTGACATAGGTATGGCTGGCATCATCGGGCTCGCCTCGTCGGGCCTGATCTGAACAATGTTGGCGTTAAACATTTTGGTGCTCTTGCGTCGCATAATCTTATCCTTGTCGGTTGATTTGCTTGTGTTCGTTCCGTAGTTTTGCATGTTTCGAGTATACCGTTTGTTGGCAATGTCACGAATGGTGTTCTTCCGCCCAAGCCCCATAGAACGTCGGTTCGCGTTACTATTGGACTTCTTATGGCTATGCATCGACATGGGTCGCTCTAATGCTTTGAGTGTTGATTCGTCAGAGCCCAGAGTGTCACTGTCATTGTCCAGGAAGGACTTTCCAGGTCCAAACGCTCCATCGGATTCCGGGTTTTTGGCTGAGGATGGCCCGGCAGTTGACGATGCTGGGCTCCTTTTCCCGGCCTGGTCAATTCTCTCTATATCATCGTCATCGGGAGTAATAGGCGAGGTTGCCATTCCTCCTTCCCCAGTTTCCTCAATGACAGGGGCATCAAGATCAAGGTTAGGGAAGAAGTCATCCAGATTGTTTATCAGAGCATCGGTGGGAGGACGGTTAGCCCATGTATCCATATCCTTCTCCATCTCAATAAATGATCCCCTCTTCAGCTTTTTCGCTTCGGCATCAGAGCGGCGAGGACGACGAGCACTACCGCCATCGCCATCTCGGAATTCAGGCGATTTGGGCGAAGCGGTGCTGAAATTAACAGACAGGACCTTCCTATCTCGATCCCGGTTTGAGCTGTTGCCTAACAACGCGGACTTGGGGGTCTTTGGTTTCGATGGAGCCCGCCCAAGCTTCTTCGCAGGTCCCTTATTGCCTCTGTTCGGCATAATCGCGAACAGACCGTCGTCAGAATCATCACTACCATCTGCATCCGGCTCTGGAGTTGGAGAAGTTATTGTCTTCGTGAAGGCCCCTCCTGAGAATTCTTCCCAGGGCGTCGGATCGCTGTTTTCATCAGCTGTCGGGGTTAATATCTTCTGGCTCCCGCTTGTTGATCCGGAATTGTGATCAGCGGGTTGAAATTCTATCACTTCATCAATTAGCACAAAGCCACACTTGAAAAAATTGAGTCACAAAAGAGACGTCCACGTTCGCTCCTCCGGGTCTCAATCACACTAGGCCTATACTGCCGCGAATTTGAAACCCGTATCGTAGGAAGTATGAAGTCTTGTGTCCAACAGTATTTCTTACCTGGTTTTGTCGCTGACTTTTGCGGAGATGTAAATCCGGGAGATTTCGACGATCCTAATGCAGGCGATCCGCTCGAACCAATGTCCTTCTTCATCGCGCTAGGCGGCAACGGTCTATATTTCTTATCCTTCTCTAACATCTTTTCGTAGGGCACTCTTGGTGTTATGAAGCCATCCGAGATGCGGTTTGCAGACCGACGATTTGCACCCTTTGGCTTTGAAAGAGAGTTGGCTTTAATCAGGGTGGCAGAGGGATCCGAAGGCGGGGCAGGGGGGCTCCTTTGCGGGAACATAATATCATGTTTCTTCTCCTTCTCCTCGAAAGGCGACATTCGCGGTTGATTGAAGTCAACGTGCCGCTTCCCAACGATGCTTGTCGCTGATTCGGGTGATCTCGGGCTTGCCTTCACTTGTTGCTTCCTCCGCTGCTCGTCCTTTCTCTCACTAGGAGACCTCCTCTCCTCACCATTCTTACCCAGACTGGTGTCGACTGTTAAGTTTGTCCCCGGCGATGGCTTTGATCTGTTGCGAGGATTCTTGCTATCATCCACAGATGCACCAGGTGGAAGATAACCAGGTGAAAGGGTGGTCGGATGGGAGACCTTATTAGAGCCATTGTTAGAGCCATTGGAGAGCCGCCAGTTCCCACTTGGTTGGCTCAACGGAGCAACGAAGAATTTAAGCGTTCCAATAGTATCAGCCTTGTTACGCTTCAAGGTCAAAAGTTCTTGGTCGGCAAGAGGCGTGAGGTGCTCAAATCTCCCCAGCTCGGTCGGATGAATTCGGAAGTTCTCGCTATCGTGCAATCCAAGGGAGGCACAGATATCTCTGCGAAGGTCGGCTGCGGTATACGCAGTAGTGACATCACACATGCGATAGTTCCAGAAATCCATAGTCACCAACACATAAATCCTCGTACGCTTGACAATGGTGAATGTGTTGTTGTTCGTATTGGTTGTTGCAACACCAGGCCGGCTCATGGTAGCGGCGTCATCCCTATCGCGATTCATTGGATCTGTTGGCGAGTCACCCTCCCCAGGTGACTCTCGTTCGTCCTTTGGAGTCTTGGCACGTGTACGAAAGATCCTAGTGAGGCCTTGCTGCCAGCCCGGGGTTTCTCCTCCAGCAGATCGCTCAGCCGAGTCCAGAGGAGATTGTTTTGGACGCTCGGTGTTTCCTGCGGGTGTGAACTTATCTGGGAAATTCAAACCTTTTGAACTTGAAGCATCGGCCGAGTTCCCTTGTCCCATTGAGAATGTAGAGTCGGTGCTATTACGTCCTCGACGATGTTGAAATTCGGTATTGGTTGGTGACGGAGATATTAACGTGGTGCCCAGCTGGAAGGGACTGCCAGTAAACTCTCCATGCTCGCCTTTAGGACTGCCAAACGAATGTTCGGAATCAAGGCTCTTTAACACTTGGCGATGGAAATCCGACACCATCGAACCGGGGTCCAAGCCGGTTGGTGGTTTGAGCTGCGGCCGGCTCTCCGAGAAACTTCCTGCTGGCTTATCTAGAAGCGTGGGCCCAGGTGCGTGGGCCGGTGTCTATTACCTGTTAATATTTCCAGTAACCAGTCTGAACGGCAGAGCCCGAACTTACAATAGGGGAATCGCCGGCCTCGCTAGGAATACTTGTTCCTTGAGAGTCCCTGAAACCTGATCCAGGAGTGGCATTGGATCCATCAGGCCTGCCGGATGAAACAATCGATCGGATCAGTCGCCTCATTCGCGATGCCTCCTTTCTTTCCTTCTCTTGATCAAATGTACAACCACTCCGAACGCATTCTTCATTCAGCCTGGGATACACCAACTGGTGCATCATACTCGCAGACCCACGGCTATTTTGTTGATGAATCCCGATTTCAAGAAATTTCGATCCGTAAAGATTGAGGGCTTTGAAGGTTTCCTGCCACTCCTTGGAAAATTGGTGGTGTGCCAGCCAAATAAGAACCGTATCCAACGGCCACTGGGCGGCTAATTCGTTTGATATCGTCACGGTAACAGGAGGTGTCTTTCCATACATATCTAACGTCCCCAGAGTGCCTAGTGTGCCCATTGTCCCCAGTGTATCTGTGCCTTCATAGGCCCAGTTCGGCGATTGAGGCACCGCCGATGCTGAAAGGTCATCAGGGCCAAGGCCAAACCCCGGAATGCCTACACCCTCCCCGAAGGTATCACCACTAGGAACATAGGTAGCACTGGTCAGGGGTGCCGGCGCCACAGGCGGCGGTACAGACACAATCTGTGCTGTAGGATATGGCGCATGATCCCTAGGGTTGTATGTTTGCAGCTGTTTTTGGCCCAGGGGAGGCGGCGGTGGGGGGAAGCGATTATCGTTCATGCGAACATATCCACTACTAAACCATGCCTGCTGGCTGGAAGCGCTGAGAGGAGGAGGGGGAGGAGGAGGTATCATATGGCCCTGTGTTCCTGGGACACCTGTTGCAACAGTATATCGAGGGGGCGGCGGTGGCAGGGGCATCATGTTGTTCATCTGGTTGACGGCCATCGGCGGCGACATGGACGGAGGCGGCGGGACCGAATACTGTCGCTGGGTGTCGCCCGGATGCCTCTGAGGTGTTGTGTACATGGTGGGCGACGCCGGAGGGGAGGAAGCCCTCCGCGAGCAGGATTGGGTTCAAGATCGAGGTGTCGTCGGGTGGTCGAAGAAACGGTCGGCAACGGTGGTTTAGAACTCGGTTGAGGGGGGTGGCGGAGTCGTTGCTGGAGAAAGAGGGACAGTGCCGTGGACAAAATTGCGGTACGGCGATGGTGTGTAAAATTTAATCCCCCTCGGGTGAGACTGCAGAAACAGAATGGCAGTTAGTTGGTTGTTTGATGATGGTTGCCAGGTTGGCGATGCGGACAGTTAGTTGGCTTGGCCTTCCCGGCGTAGATGCGTAAGGCAAGGCAGGTAGGTTAGGTACTCGATGGTGCGGGACCGACGCCAACCACCGCTAAGGCTCAGGGTTTCGAATAGCGCAGCCCAGCACCCGGCATCAGGTATCGTCACTTGTCTCGGAAAGGACTGGTGCTCGTTGGTCTTCAGCCTCTCTAAAATTATTGGGACACAGACGCAGGCAGCCAGCCATCTATCGGGCCATCCGATGGTCGTTGGCGCAGGTGAGCCTTTGACACGCAGAAAAGATGCGAAAAGAGGGACGGGCTGGATACAGCTGGACAACCGGCCGGCCGTCACGAACATGGACCTGGCCGTGGCTTTGTTCGTTCTCCATAAAATTATGCCTTGATTATGCACTAAACAGCTGGCTGTGGATCCCAACAGGGACCCCCGCGCTTAACGGCAGCTAAAATGGCTTTGAACGAACCAATAAGCGCCTTCGAGAACGGGCAAGCGCAGCCTGTGGGGTGCACACCCAGCACCAACCTCAGGCACAGACGCAGGGCTCGTATTGCCTGTGCCTCAGCTTACGGCGAAACGTGCAGAGGACGTTCCTTTGGGGCACACCTGGGGCACACCTTTGGGACTCTGACGGGGCGGAATCGTCGTCTGAGCATCACCACGACACAGGTACCTTTGATTCCTTCGCCCCAATCCAGCCTAACCGGTGCACTCCTGATCCGTGCACACGCCCATCAAACCGTGTTCCGTGGCCAAGCCATGACCCCTTTGTGCCAGAAGGCATGTTTCATCTGCGCGGAAGAGGGTGCCTGGCTCCAACTTTTTTGCATCCGGACTGAGCGAAGCGACTATGCAATTACTGGTGATTCTCATATACCCATCCGAATATCCAGGAACGAACTATTGAGAATAAATAAGTCAATCTAGGGAATATGCCAGTTCAATGATGCCCGCCCAAGTCGCAGAAATCGCAACACCTAAAGCCAAAAAATAAGAGAAGATCATATAATATCCATGCCAAACCCATCCGTACACGGGAGTGGGGAAAGAAGCCAAGAAAAAATCCCGATCGCTCGCATCACATTACGCTGCAGTTCGAGAAGTTAAACCCATAACCCTGCTGGCACTGCTCCAAATACCCAGCATCCTCCGGAGATCCCTGGGGAACGTTGTGTTTTCGAACAAGCCCAGTAATCTTAAGGTCTTGCTCACCTTCGGAATGCCACCACTTGAATCGCTGAAGCAGAGGCCCCTCAGTCTCGTCTGAGCTTATTTCCCACTTGCCGCCGGATACCGAGACATCAGACAGATCCTTGGGGAAATGATATTCTGGTAGAAATACGGTGGTCGGTGCGTCGTCCGAAGTGGCCTTTTCTGCCGTCAATTTCAACGTAAATGTGCAGCTCCGAAGATCGAAGCCATACTGGATCACATCACCAGCAACGGATGTTGGTGTAGGTCTGATGAAGGCTTCGGCGGCACGATACCCGTTTGCTGCCGTCAGTTCTGGCTGTTTTGACGAGGGTTCCGAGCTGATAGACGGATTGGTCAGGGTCTTCTGTAGGTTTGCAGGCGTCACGTTTTCGTCGTCGGGAAGAATTTTGGCATTGGCACTGGTAGCAGACTTCGATTCGGTGGAAGCGCTACGATGTAAGACGGCGCTCCTTGGTACCGCTGAGAGCGATGGGATTTTATCATCAGTAGAGTAGATGGACAGATCTTCTCCGTTCCATCTATCGCCCCAATGATGGTTATTCGTAGCACTGTATAGCCAGAGGCAGTGGCCCTCGAGGTTTGCACCCTCAGCAGCAAAGTAATTCGCGTCCAGAGCAGAACTCTGACTGGAGTAGTCACCAGTCTTGTAGGCCTGCTTGTCATCCATGTCATATGGAATGCCGAATTCGGTAAGAACACATGGATGGTTCCCCGTCTGCTCCTTGCCCTCCTCACGAAGAAACTTCAATTGATCCCGAAGGCAATTCCGAATGGCAGTCTCCCCTATCTTAATGGCAAAGGCGGGGTGCAAATATTTACCACGCAAGACGCCAACAACATCGACGTTCCAGGTGCTATTCCAGTGCTTGGTCATGAGAGTGATTCCATCGTAGTAATGGGGGGTGAAGGCCAGCTTCGGGTCATCGTCGGGGGTGTCCTTGATTTTGGGTGGGATTTCCAAAGTAGGGAACTGCATGAGAAGCATGCAATCCTTGTGGCAACTTCTATATGCGTCCTTTGACTTGCGCCAGAAGTCCATGAAGTATGTGTTGGTGAATTCGGGATAGTCGATGGTCTTCCCCGTGCGTGGGTTCTGGGCAAAGTAGTCCTTCCGAAGGAGAGTATCCGTGCTTGGGTCCCAGACTCCATGTTGAGCCCAGATGCATTCTCCCAACTTCCATCCTGGGTCTCGCTTCCAACCATAGCGGGAATCATCATAGGTTTCTGGCAGCCATGCAACCTCTCCATGAGGGTCAATCAGCTTTGTTCCGGTCTTGTATGGACCCATACCTCCCATATCCCACACGTCGACCTCACAAGCCCGACCACTACCTGTCAGAATGGTTTGCCATATCGTGGGACTCGTCCCCTTCTTGAGATGCTGCTCGCTTGGAATACTGGTCAAGTCCGCATATCCTGTAAGACCTCTATTTGGCTCGTTCATACTTTCCCATCCCATGACAACCTGGTCCTCGAGGTCCCCTGCTTCGTGAATCCTCTTGGCCAGAAATTTGCATGCGTTGACGAAGTGGTCCTGCAGGTAATCTTGGATATTCACACCATCGATGATACATTTGGGTGCAAAGTCACGGCCAGCAAAGAAGAATGTAAAGATCGTGGCAGCAGCAAGTCGCCAATAGTTGGTCGACCAAATCATTTTTGGGAAGGTGTCGGGATCAGGGTATGTATTATGCACTACCGCGGCCTCAGTCGCAGCGAAACTCTGGGGGTTGAGACCACAAGCGTAGACAGTCCACAAGGGAGCGCCGGATCCGCCTGTGAAACGAGACCAGACATCCTGATGAGGGTCCATAAAGACATAGAACCCGTATTCCTTAGCTATCCTCAATATATTAATCGTATGCTGGGCAAATTCTTCGTCGTATACGCCTGGTCCTCCGCTTTCGATGGCCTCCCATGTGAAGACATAGCGGATTGTATTGAAGCCAAATCGCTTCAATCTCGAGAAATGAACGTGGGCATCATCTATCGCGAATGGGCGTTTGTGGAAGGAAACATTGTCGCCATCGAAAAAGTCATCGCCGACATTGGAAGGCTGTTCAGGCTCACTGGGCAGTTTGGCATCGCCAGCGACGTTGAGGCCTCGTAGGACTACCTGGCGACCGTGACCGTCACGAAACTGGCCGTCCTCGATGGTTAACCGGAAGGACATCGTCACAAGTTGGAGCCTACGGTATGGCTATCGGTCGAATGCCGGGTGAAGAGGCTCGCCGTCTCGAACGAGCGAACGTGGATGCAACGGGAGGGATGGAAAGACGCTGTCTTGAACCAGCCGATAGGGTAATGCGTGGCTGGTGGAGTTGGGGAGGATGATGAGGTCAGTGGTTTAGCTGGAAGCCGACGCTAATCTCATGACTGGTTAGTTGGCCCCGCTCTGATGTTCCAGCGCATGAGCATGGGGATGATTTTCACTGCTCTACGAACTTGTTAGACTTTCAACAGTCTCTCACCTTCTAGATTGTGCACATGATTCTCATGGATCGCCAATTCTCAACCCATCTACCCAAATCGTCATCTTGAAAAGTGGTAGGGTCATGTGTGCCGTAATTGGTTAGACAGCTTTTGCATGAACTTCAACCCAGCCCATGCATCTCCTACCTTGTACTATCTCGGAGGCAAGATCGGCTCTCAGAGACTAATGTAACCAGTAACAGCTACCTTACCCATGAAGGCTAAAGTTATATCGTTTGTTACAGTGGTGGAGCATGAGATACGGCAGACCGGCAGCCGGCTTACTGTTGGGGAGGTAGGGTAGGGCGGAGATTATGATCAAGACCCGATTGCCCTAGGCAGCAGCAGCTACTATATAATCCTCACGAAGCTCTGGTCTATCCTTGGGGTCGCCAACGCTTCCAAAGTCGCATCAAAATGACTGAAAATCCCCAACGCCGCCCTTTCAAGGGCTCCTGCCACTGCGGTGCCACTCGCTACGTCGCCTTCCTGACCCTTCCCCACAGCCCGCCCCAGACTCGCAAACACGGAGAGCAGTCCTTCTACCGGTGCAACTGCACCATTTGCCACAAGTCAGGATTCCTCCATGCTCGACTGAATTCCTCCCCGGATGACTTCCTCCTACTCTCCCCTCTTGATCCCTTCCAGGATATGGGCGACTACCAATGCGATGAGAAGCTCCTCCATTTCTTCTACTGCCGTGTGTGCGCCACACGATGCTTCATCTTCATGGGCGAGGGCGAGCTCATAGACGTCGACTTGGCCGAGCTCGGGCTGGGAGAGACGGGCATTGTGAAAGCATGGCGACCGAAGAAAGACGGGTGGCAGGAGGGTAAATTGAAACATGGACGTTACTTGAGCGTCAATGCGATTTCCCTAGAACCCGGGCAGGAAGGCTTCGAGCTGGGGGAATGGACAGAGAAAAAATGGATTGCATATCTAGATACCCTGAGGGCTGGCAAACCCGGTGAGGGTCTTCCTACTTATGAGCGGCCTCATCCGGGAGGTTCTTACTAGTGTAAGTCTGACAGTATCTGACT